TACCCCAGTGCACTGCTTGGGGGGCGCTGTGCTGCAGGGAGTGGGGGCAGAGGTCACTAGGGGGCTCTCCCCTGGCCGTCAGTGCCGGCCCCAGTGCTAAGTAAAGTCCTGCAGAGAGAAATCCTACAAAACCCTGTGCAACAATTACAGCCGTGGCCATCTTCACATCCTCCCCGGTGTTCTCGGCTCCGATAGGCCTCTCAGTAGACAAGCGTCGCTAGCGGGATGGTTCCTGCTGGGGTTTCCCTTGGGTCTTCCCTCTTTGATATTGTAGCCCTGACTACACCTGACACATAAGAACGGCCACACTGGGTCAGACCAAAGGGCCATCTAGCCCAGTATCCTGTCTGCGACAGTGGCCAGTGCCGGGTGCCCCATTGGGAATGAACAGAACAGGGAATCAGAGAGTGATCCATCCCCTGTAGTTCTCCCAGCAAACAGAGGCTCGGGACACCATCCCTGCCCATCCTGGCTAATAGCCATTGATGGACCTATCCTCATGAACTTATCTAGTTCTTTTTCAAACCCTGCTATAATCTTGGCTTTCACAACATCCTGTGGCAAGGAGTTCCACAGGCTGAGTGTGCGTTGCATGAAGAAATACTTCCTCTTGTTTGTTTTACACCTGCTGACTATTCATTTCATTGGGTGACCCCTAGCTCTTGCATTATGAAAAGCAGTAACCAACACTTCCTGATTTACTTTCTCCACACCAGTCATGGTTTTACAGACCTCCATCATATCCCCCCTGAGCTGTCTCTTTTCCAAGCTGAAAAGTTGTAATCTCTCCTCATACAGAAGCCGTTCCAGACCCCTCGTCATTTTTGTTTCCCTTTTCTGAACCTTTTCCAATTCCAGTCTAATTTTTTTGAGATGGGGCGACCACATCTGCACGCAGTATTCAAGGTGTGCACGTACCATGGATTTTGTCACGGAGTGTGGGTCCCAGGTCACCACTCCCCCTCCCTGCTGCGTCACAGATTTATATAGAGGCAACATGATATTTTATGTCTTATTATCTCTCCCTTTCTTAATGGTGCCCATCCTTCTGCTGGCTTTTTTGACTGTCGCTGCACACTGAGTGGAAGTTTTCAGAGAACTCTCCGCACTGACTCCCAGATCTCTCTCCTGCCTGGTAACAGCTAATTGAGGCCCCATCGTTGTATATGTAGAGCTGGGATGATGCTTTCCAACGTGCATCACTTTTCATTCATCAACATTGAATTTCATCTGCCAGTTTGTTGCCCAGTCACCCACTTTCGGGAGATCCCTTTGTAGCTCTTGGCAGTCTGCCTGCGACTTAACTAACTTGAGTAGTTTTGTATCATCTGCAAATTTTGCCACCTCACCGTTTATGCATGAAGGTGTGTCACGGACTCACAGGCCCCTGCAAGCTCTCTCGGCTCTGTAGGATCCCCGGGAGGAACTCCCCTCCGTCTGACAGCCCTTCTCGGGGTTCACTCTCTGTTGGGGGCTAAGCCCTGGGTTCCACCATCTCCTGGAACTGCACCTCTCAGAGCCTCCAGCCCGCCTGGCTCCCTTCGTGAGCCCCCTTGGGGGGTCCCCTTGCTCTGGCTACCTGGGGCCACCCCCACCAGATGGAGCGATGGCCCCCCGATCTCCAGTCTGCAGGGACTCTCAGCCAGCGTAAAACAGGAGGGTTTATTGTATGGCCGAACCCAGCCTAGGCAGTACTCAGGGGCCTCGGGGCTGGCCAGTCTCAGCACCTTCCAGCTGGTCTGTCCCAGTCCAGGTGTGTCTGTCCCAGTCCAGGTGCAGCCAGACCCCTCTTTGTCCCCAGTCCAGAAGCAACTTCCTTCCAGCTGATCCCCCTATATCACCTTCCCCACAGCCCCTCCTCCACCCTGCGTCTTCCTTCCGCACAAACAGATCACCGGGGCCCTCTCTCTTCCGTCCTTTGTCCTCCCACTGGCCAGAACTGCCCGGCTCCCAACACAGGCTGGGCCTCTGGGTCACCAGTTGCTGAGATCTATCATGTCCAGGCCGTTGTCTGGGGTCCAGGCTGCTAGGTGAGATCACACCTGGCCCTCTGTACCGGCAAACCCTCACTCCCACCACCTCGTGACACACACGGCAGCGCACAGGGGAAACTGAGGCATGCACAGTACTCATGCACAACACGAAGAAAATCCCCCGCTTCGTCACAAGGCATCAGCCTGCTTTCCCTTAGCTGCACTTCCACACCCCATGATTATTGGTCTGCCCCATTTTTCATAGGTTGTTTGTAGTTCCTTTTCGTCTCACGTGCAGCTACGCATGGCAGGTACCCTGCGGTCAGGACAGACATTTAAAGATGTTACAATCAGGCGGCAGTTGGTTTTGGACAATATCGTGTGTCTATTGCAATCCATTGTCCCATAACCTCACCTGTTGGCACAGCTTATGCCGTAACCTTTGGTCTTAGCGGTTATTGCTAGGTCACTCAATCATCTTAAGCCTCTGGCCTAGTCTGGCGAAGCTAAAATCGTACAGGTCTCAGCCTGTAGGCCTTGCTATTAACCATGCTTTACTAATACCTAATACACACTCCTCACGCCTACTTATCTATCCTATACTGCGCTAATCCTGCAACTCCAGTCTAAGGAGCATCCGTTGATTGTATAGGAAATAACAAATCCATTGGCCGTACCATCACATAATACACTGAGAAACGGAGGATAAAATGAAGGCTCCACACATAATCGGGGTGTAGTGAGCAGAGCGGCCTCCCTCTGGACTTGAGAGCAAGGGACCACTATGTTTCCCCTGGTGGGAGGAGCCAAATGTGCCCCGCCCCCTTCCCGGAAGTACCGGGGCGGGGCAGGAAGTATAAAGGGAGGGCCCTGCAGGGGAAGGAGGCAGATGTCTCCAGCCTGCTGCTGAATGCAGAGCTGACTCTGTGCTGTGCCCTTCCCCCGGGGGAAACGAACCCTGGAGATGTGGTGTCAGGATTGTCGTCTGCAGTGTACCCCACGGAGACAAAGGACCCCTGGACTGCGGAACCCGCCCCCCACCCACCCAAGCTGTGGTAGGAAGTAGCCCAAGGACACCAGACTTTTGCCTGGTTTTGTCGCCGGAGCACAGGCTGGTGTGATTGGGTAGGATCCCCACTGACCCAGTTGTGGCACTTCATATTCTTAAGTGAGATATGCTTTTGATATGAATATGGCATTACTAAGTTGTATTTTATGCAAGATGGGTCATGTAAGATATCATTGGAAAGATTATGATTTACTGAACGTGATTATCCTGTTTGTATGCATGCATCATTTCTGTATCAGTCAATATTCCTAACTTTAATGTACCAATTACAAAAATGTTTGCACCTGAGGAATGCCCACACACAAAATGCCATGAGTCTGGCTGGTTGGCCAATGATCCGTTAGGGGGAACAATAGGATTTTGAAGATGCTAATCTCCCACCTTCCTCAGATGTTTCCTGGGATGCTGCAAACAACCTTTGACTTATGGCTGCTTTGACACGGCAGGGTCATGTGATAATATCACCTGGTACTGGACTCCATCTTGGACTGATAGTAGTTTTCCACTTGTAGGAGGTGGGGATCAAACTGGGAAACAAATGATTCCCCCCTTATGTAAATCCTATTTAAGGCTGGGGAGTGAGATAATCAGGGTTGGTTCTTCACTGAATCCCTGCCCAAGCTGACTGCTGAAAACACCTAAAACTGATCTGGGGAGGAAAGGACTGAACCCAGGCTAGAAGGTGTTTGGCCTGTGAAAGAAATACCTGGAGCTTGAAGTTGCAAGCAAGAGGAATTTGTCTTCAAGAAACTCTGCAACCTGCTGAAAACAATATTTAGGGTGAGAAATTACTGCTTGTAGCCAGTTTCTATTGTGTATTAAACTATAGTTTGCATGTTTATTTTATTTGCTCAGTAATCTGCCTTTGATCTGTTTGCTATCCCTTAAAATCACTTGAAATCTATCCTTTGTAGTTAATAAACTTGTTTTGTTGTCTCAAAACCCAGTTTGTGGAAGTCATTACTGGGGGGGTGGGGGGACAACGCTGTGCATATCTTCCTCCACATTGAGGCAGGAGGCAAATTTCAATTAGCTTATGCAGTACAGTTCTCTGTGCAGCGCAAGACAAAACAATTTTGGGTTTGCACCCTGAGAGGGTGTGCACCTGAGCGCAGGTCAGTTCTTTAGCTGAAAGCTTTCCCATGCAGGGCTGGTTTCAGTGTCTGTGTCTTTCTGCAGCTGGGTGTGTCCCTACCTGTGTGTGTATGTGCTGGAGAAGGCTTGAGGGCCTGGCTCTGCAGGACAGGGTGAGGGATCCCAGGCTGGTGGAACGGGTGGTCTCTGTGGTACCCCAGTACATCAGGTGGCATCCCCAGAGTGGGGGACAACCTGTCACACCAATGTTGG